CTTTGGATTAAAGAATGCACCAGCATTTTATCAAAAATGTATTCAACACATTATTAATGAACCAATACTACAAGGATGGGTAATTGTTTATATTGATGATATCCTTATAGGAGCACATACAAGAGAAGATTTATTAGAAAAAACAGAAAAAGTAATAAAACTATTAGGAGGAGCTAAATTAAAGTTAAAATTATCTAAATGCGAATTTGAAAAGGAAGAATTGGAATTCTTAGGATGGAGAGTATCAAAAGGAAAAAGAAGAATACAAGAAAAAAGAATAAAAGAAATTAAAAATTGGAAGTATGGACAACAGATGGAAAAATTTTTGGGAATACTGGTATACATTAGTAAATTCATACCAGCAAGAGCACAAATAATTGGACCATTAAAAGAAACTATAGAAAAAACATTAAATAAACAGAAAGAATTAAAAAGTAAAGCTAAAAGAAGTGTAGACAATCCAGAAGCAATGGCAGCATTCGAGACAATAAAGGAAATATTAACTGATGAATTAACATTAGTAAATCCAAATTGGAAAAAACCAGTAGAAATCTACACTGATGCAAGTGACTATGGAATAGGTGCAGTGATAAGACAGAATCACGGCATTATATTATACTATGGGAAAAGTTTCACTAATAATAAAAAGGGCTGGAGCACATACAAAAAGGAAATGTATGCCATACAATGAACGATAGAAGAAAATCAGGAATACTTACAAATATACCAATCAGAAATGGTCATTGTATATTGTAATAATAGTAGTGTTATGGTGATACTAAATAATACAACAAGAAAAATACCAATAGAAAAGTGAGCTTTAACAATGTATAAGAAGGTTGTGAATTACGGATTAATCATTTGACACATAAAAGGAAAAGAGAATATAGTTGCAGATGCATTGAGCCGATATTGGAAAAAGATCGACAAGCCTGAACAAAAAGAAGATAACAGATAAACAAGACCACGAAATAGGAGATAACGAGACAAATAAAGAAAGATAGAATGGGTAATTATAAATATTAAATGTACGTGAGAACGCTCAGAACAAAAAGAGGAAAACGCTAGGAAAATCTATAATAATGATTATAGTCAAAAGGGACAATGGACACCCGATAACAAAAATATGGAAATAGTTATAAAAGATACCCAACTAATATCCGGAAAACTTCAGTGAGCAGGGAATCAGTCCTATAGCAACATTCACCATACCTACAATAACAAAGAAAGTTACTAAAAAATTACCGACCTTGCCATAATTACAATTATTTCAACCACTACTGTCCAAGCAACCACTACCGTAACAACCACCACAGGGGAAGTAAGTCAATTGAGGGACATACTTAACATTCTTTCAACCGTTTTAGCATTCGTCATATTTTGGGGTACCACTTTTATTATACAACAAAAGCGAATTAAAAGTTTAACTCGAAGAATAAACTAGGTACCTACTAGGATACATCCTAACAGAAATATTAGAATAATAGGGACAGATCGAAGGGGATCTATTGATACTTACACATCTGCACCACTACCATACTCATAACAGGGATACTAACAAAGAAGTCATATTGGCGGTAACAGCAGACATCATTTTGAGGACAGCGATTATTTCGATAACTTGCTGTGTATCTTCAATAATATCAATAATATTACTCAGGAAAGAATTGAAGTATCGGAAAATACACCACCCATCGTATCTGGAAGAAGTCAAAATATCCTATGAATAATACCACCACTGTTGACAGTGGAGAAAGTAACCCATCTAACACCCAATTTGTTGTAGTCACCGCGATATCTGCGACACTTATAATTATACTTTTTGCAGCCTTCACATACTGCTGCTTTAGAAGAAAGGAACAAGAAAGACTAGCGACCATTGGACAAAGACAATTGGAAGAAAGACTGGGAAGATATTACCATAGATGAGTGTGATTGTAGAATCAATATCCACCATAACTAGGATCGTTACATTCTTCATAACCACAATACCAAGTGTACAAATAATTATCACAACAGCAGATATATCAACAACAGCATTAGTTTTAACTACCATAACTAGCATACCAGGAGATGGCATATTCTTGATCACAACATCAGAAACAATCATACTGATCGTATTCGTGATATTGGCAGCAGCAATCTTAACAATTATTTTACAATTCCAACGAATCTGACAGAAGCGTGACCAAGACTCTAAAATCGAACAATTAAAGAACTTATTTGAAAATATGTATGATACAAACAACTAAAAGATCAAAGGAAGAAGAAAATCATGAAATTGAATTACGCATTAAACGAATGGAAGTTTTTGGATTAACCATACCAGAAAAGGCCAGATTACGATCAAAGATACAACGATATGAGAGAAATGAATACATGAAAGAATTACAATGATTGAATCAAGAGATAAAAGAAGAAACACAAAAAGAAGAAGATTTAAGAAGGAAAGCAATAGAAAAATAAAGAAAATTGGTATTAGTAACAGGTCTGAATATACTGAAAATTATATATACTACATTATTATATAGTGAATGCATAATAAAGTATAATTTATTTGAACATGAATAATTCATGATTATATGATGTACATAAAATATTGAAAAAATCACGAACTGTTAAAGCATTATCAAAATGATGGAATCGCACTTCACAAATCCTTAAAGCATTATCATTAAAGTCACAAGAAACAAAATAAAAAAGGGGAACTGTGGCATTGATATTTGAATCTAAACGATTCTCTGACTGATGGGAAATAATCAAAAAAAGAAATCGAGGTACTGATGAATTACGACCAAGAGACACTGAAAAGTTAAGTTTGAATTCATCATCAATCAAAAGAAGGTATGAAAAACCTTTGTGGTATCCGGAAGCAAAATAAATTTGAAAATTGGAAGGATTATTGTTTGAAATAATCCTGGAATTTCAATTAATAATTAAAGACCGAAAAAGTGAAAAAATGATAATCAACAAAGAAAGTGAAACAATTATTTCAGACATTTTGATGAAAAAAGAAAAGGTAATTCATAAAGCTTATAATGATAACTTACTGAACCGCAGAAATTTGAAAATATATCAAAATATATGAAAAATTTATGCAAGATGAAATAAACAAACAAACAAAAGAACCACAGAAATTTAGAAATATATGGAATTATATGAAAATATATCAAAATATATGAAAAATTTATGCAAGATGAAACAAACAAATAATAAATAAAGAGATAAAAAATAATTGGATGATTGAAAAAGATTGACATGTGATCAGAAGTTATAAAAGAATGATAAGGTAGATGTTGAATCAACATCGAATAATCAATAAAATCAAAAATCTGACAAATGAAAATAACAAGAAAATCAAAACTTCAAATATTTGATATTGTTATTGGAGAACCACAAAGGAAAGAATGAATAATTGTTGAAAGTTCAGATTCGGAAGAAGAAGGATACTCTTTGAAATCACAAGAAATAAAAAAATATCAAGGAGGATCACCACATAAGACATATTATTTATATAACGAAAAGATAATTCCGAAAGAAGTAATAAATAAAACAAGATCATTATTTAAAGTTGAAGGAAGAATAATAGAAGGACAAAAAGTACAATTAATAAAGAAGTATCCAATTGAAAAGAAGAAATTTAAGGAATAAAGGAAGAAATTCCCGAAAATATTTAAGAATCCTAAATTAACAATTGAATATTTGTTAAACTTGAAAGAAGAATGACAAGTTCATATCTTGTAGAATATATTTATTGGTATCAAGAAGGAATCAACAAACATTGGATAATTTTAAAAGATTCATTTACAGGAGAATTCGCAAGAAAAAGAATTGATTTAAAAGAAACCTTAACATTGCAACAAATCTGTCAAGATTTAATAATAGAAGAAAATTATTTCTATACATACCAATTGGCAGAAACTTGTGACGGATTCATATACTTCATACCTGAAGGATCATATGAAGATAGGAATTTAAAGATACATTTTAAGGAATTATTCGAACCACCATCTTACCAAGTAAGAATTAAAAAAGCAATTACACTGAGATATAGTATCATTACTGATAATTACAGAACAAGAGAATTAATTAAAGAAGAACTGGCAGAACAATTAATAAAGATTCTGGAAGAATGAGCATTTAAAGTAACTGAAACAGAAAGTTACAAAGTATATAGAGATATTGAAACACCCGATGACACATTTGAAGATATCATTGTGAAAATAGAAGCTTATGAAAAGAATGATCTTAAAATCAATGAAAATTTTAATACCAATTGAACAACATAAAGTATTTGAAATAGTAGAATTATCTATTATGATAATTGGAAGAATTAAAAATTATATAACTAAAAAAGATGGATATATGGAAGAAATTACACAATTAATGTCTCTAATGAATATTAGATTAGTGTGTAAATTATGGAATGAAATAGTTAAACAAATAATACCACAGGTAGAATACATACAATGGGGAGTTGAATATTGGAAATTTTGTAGTTTATGTGGGGATAAAATAGAAGCACCACTCATAGGAAGACATAATGAAAATGTTCAAATTTATTATACTTATCATTTTATGATGCCTTATGGAAAGATTGAATAAAAGAAAGATATAATTTGCTATATGAAAGATAAAACTATTAGATGGAAATGTACAAGGGGACAAAAGTGCATGTATTATTGCAAAAATCGTCCAGGACATTGTACAAGAGAAAAAGGGTACAAAACAGTAAAAAGATTATATAAAACACTCATACAGTACAAGGCATGGAGGAAAAGAAGAATTAGAAAATTTATAAAAGGAACCAGAACTGAATAAATTGAAATTAATATTATTGAAATAAAAATCATAAAATTAAAATAATCAAAATGGTTAAAACAAGAAGCAGTACTAAACCAAATGTTATTGTCAATAGAAGAAATAATATTGCTGATATAACAGTAACACAAAAACCTGTAATAACTAAAGAAAGTAAAGATAATAATGAAATAATTACATCAAGAGAAAAAGGTAAAAGATTTGAAATTGCTGTATACAAGAAACTTCAATTTTGTCTAGAACCTATCCAAAAAATAGAAGATGGATTTTATGATAAAGTAGCAGGTGAGTATAACTCAACAGGAGATGGAGAAATAGATATGATAGTACAAACCAAGGAACATTTGTTGTTAATACAGTGTAAAGACTGGAGTGCAAAACTGGGAGTACCAATATTAAAAGGATTTATGGGAGCAATGATTAAATTTCAAGAGAAATGTACAGAGAATAAGATAATAGGAATTATGATAACAAGAAATGGATATACTGATAGTGCAGAAAGGGAATTGAATGGAATAATGATGAAGTTAATATTAACAACATATGATGAATTGGATAAATTAAAAAAAAAAAATTATAAATATAGCTAAAGAAGATATCTCCATAAAATTCAGAAATCTAAAGCATATCAAAATTAAAGAAGGA